GCCAAGAACATTTTTTTTTTTTTTAAATCAAAATTATGAACACACCAGAGTTACCGATATCAAACAAGTCCTTCACGCTTTTATTGACTAAGACAACAATTTATAAAATTAAAGGCATTATCTAGAGTATTTGCCCACCTTCTAATCCAACTAAATCAAACTTTTGAGTGTCTTTTGTTATTAACCCTTCAAGAATTAAGATAAATGTTCTTCAAGTATCAGGATATGCAGAGTAAAAAAAAATGTTGTTCAAGATAAAGTCCCATCTCGAGGTAAAGGTAGGAAAACAAAAGAGGCTGTAAATGGAGAGCATTATGATTTAATTTGGCGTTCACCTTCTTCCTCGTGTCTGGATCAACCAAGGGTTCAGGTGCCTTTGATAGAGGCAAGTCCTTAATGCTAGACAAAAAGAACTCTTCCCAAGGTGCCAACATCAATATTCCTTGCCCTTCTTTTCCTTTTCGCCCAGTCCGCCCTAGTCGATGTATATACTGCTGTCTATCAGCTGGAACACCAATCTGCAACAAAATTTATTTCTGTTAATCCTCCATATATGTGGAGATTGCAGGTCTCCGAAAAATAAAAACCAAACACTCGTATACTGTTTTTATCTTAGAAAAATAATAAACCAATCAGCATCCATTCCAGAACGATCAAATGCGAATCTCAAACAATGTTGCTATAAAACCAACTGGTTGGTTCCCTTATGGAACCAACACCCAATGATTTTGCTCCATGTGGGGCTGTCCCACATGGGCTCCATGTGGGACAGCCCCACATGGAGCTGTCTAATTCGGTGTTGGTTCCATAAGGGAACCAACCAAATGTCAAATTTTGTTGATAAGCATGCCAAACCTTAAGGTAATCCCCTTCAAGAAAAGCAGGATATGAATAATAATGACAAAGACAAATTTTCAATTTTTAAAGAAGCAATCTAAGAATGTATTATGGAATGAAGCAAAGCATAACCTGAACCACTAGAGTAACATCTGGATAATCTACACCACGTGCAGAAACATCAGATGTCACAAGAATAAGACCCTTGGACTTGCGAAATTCATCTGAAATTCTTGTTCTGTAACTTTGAGGCTTTCGGGAATGAATCTCACGGACATTCAAGTTAAGCTCACCCAGAAGATTCGCCACAAGCCTTGTTACCATTGCAGTTGTGCAAAATACGAGAATCTGTAGCACGGGGGGAAATATTGTAGCCACACGTTAAAAATGACAAAAACAAAAGTGTATTTCAATGCTTGAAATTCACATAAAATGTTTTTCCAGAGTGTAAAAGGACCAGGTACAAGATAGATTTTGATACCTTATAATTAACATCATCTGCGATATGCTCTTTAAGAAGAGTGTAAAGAAGCGGAAAGTGTTTGTCCAGAGAAGCAACAAGATGCATCTGCTTGACCTGAAACATTTTTCAACAATACAAATATTATGGTAACCCAAGGTGTAAATAACAGACAACAAGTTATATATAAATGCAAAATTTTCTGTGTGTCAAGCTACCTGTGCGTGTGTATCTTCACTTCCTTCCTGAACTGTGTTTATGAATTCATGGTCTCTTTTTAAAGCAATATGGCAGATTTGACGAACCTGTACCAAAACTTAATTAAGAACTACCAATTTCATGAAAGACCAGAAGAAATAAGGAATTGCATTTATTACCTCTTGGGGGACTGTTGCAGAAAATAGAAGTGTCTGCCTCTGTTTTGGAACAGCAGCTATTATCCTCTCTATTTCTTTGCGAAATCCCATGTCTAACAAGTGATCGGCTTCGTCAAGGACCAAGACTTTAACTCCCATCAGCCGGGTAGCAAATCCAGATGTATTCTCTATGTGATCCCTAAGTCTTCCAGGTGTAGCTACAAGTATCTGCATATTAAATAAGATGAATTAGTAGAATTAAACTAATGCTTAACAAATTGCAAAACAGAGCGCGGATAAGCAGCACCAGTGTTTAAACATGAATAAAATGCATCAAGGAGGATGAACGAAGGAACAAATAGAGGTGCAGATTAAGTCTACACAGCCCTATTTCACAAATGGGACTTAAGGATTTCTAATCATACATTTAATTATTTCAACTGAATGAATGAACATATATACTCAACAAGTTTAATTTGCACAAGAAGGTTAAAAGGTAATTGCACAAGAAAATTGTGTAACTTAACATGCAATTTCTTGTGAACGGTGCTCAGTATATGCATGACTAACTCATATTCAATCACCAATGCCATCAACTATCAAGTCTATCTCAATCACACTTTCCATACACAAAAATATATTGGTCGATGTAGATTACTTTTCCAATCACCATTCACACCATATCACTATTTTATCAAAAAGTTATATAGCATTAACTTCCATCCTCAAATTCCCATCTTGGCCAGATGTCATCAACTTTTTCACACTTTTCTCTCTAAAAGCATATAAAGGTGAAGATCGAAAGCCAATAAAAGTTACAAATTAAAAATTTGTCCTAGGCTCAAACACACGTCAGCGGCTGCTGACTTAGGCCATGCGAGGGGACCACAATAGAGCTGGCCGCATACCAGCAAAGGCGCTCAGGACAACGCTTACTCATCCGCCAGCTGTCCCCGCATGGATATATTCAGAACTCAATATAAATGGTGCTGTAGCAAAATTTACCTGGCATGGATTGGCTTGCATTCGTTTTTGTTCAAGAGCTAGGCGTGTACCTCCTATGACAACTTGAACGCCAATAGAAGGATGATACTTCAACAAAGTGTTGGCCTCGGTAGCCGCCTGACTAGCAAGCTCACGAGTTGGGCAGATAACAAGCACAAGTATCGGAGGTCGCTTTTGATCAAGACCAACTGGGGATGATTTTACCACCAGCTCAATTGCCGGGAGCTGAAATGGAGACATTAAATATAAGAATGTGAGAATATCTTAACATACTTCTAGTAGCATCATTAAATCACACCTGAATCTAATTTAAAATGTCACTGTGCCATTTTTTATTTTACTAATTGAAGTTATGCATCATAATCACAACTATTCTCTGAATTAGAATTTATAGTGCCCCCAAATTCTTGTGTAAAAAAAGCCTAAAGGTTAGTCGGGTGGATCTGTCATGTTTTATTTTAACATAAATGCATATTTGTGCTCACAAATATCATACTTTTATTTATGAATGACACTTGTGTACGAAATTATGTATATTTGTTAAAAATGTAGAATTTCCCAACGGTTGGCTGTTCTAATACCAACCCTACCATTTTAGGGTATATTATATGCTGTTCCAACAAAGAGAAGGGAAGAAATAAGTCGAAATAAAGAGCCGGGCGAGATGATCAAGCAAAACATTAAAAACTCTACAATAATTGCTGAATATTATATAAGTAGATCGAGTATTATTCAACAGCGAGCGCATCATGCGTTAAAAGCTCTTTCTGTAGTTAAAAAGGCAGCAATCTCGGAATCAGAATGTAGAAATTCAAAAAAAAAAAAAATCATTACCAAAAATGCTACAGTTTTCCCTGTGCCAGTTTTTGCCTTAGCCAGTACATCCTTACCTATAAGAAAACAGCTAAACGATATATGAAAAACTATTACATGAAACGAACACATGGGAGCTGAGAATGAGAAATTTATATTAATAAGAAGAAAATATCAGATCACTCTGGATTAGGAATACTATATGCAAAAGGCAGGAGCATGCCACTAGAGCATAAAGTGTATTCCAGATTCAGTTTATGTTGTACCCAGCGCTCATGTACGGAAGCAGAACAAAATAAATTTTGTGGCTTTTACATTTTACCTTTAAGAATCACGGGAAGTGTTGCCTCCTGCACCAATGTCATCCTTTCATATCCAGCATCTTTGATTGCTTTAAGAGACAAAGGTGAGATAGGACATTGATCAAACCTGTGGATCAATGCATATTGCACAATAAATTAATAAGGGGCAAAATGAAAAGTCAACTCATTTACCTTGATAAATGGTTCTAATAGCAGATAAAATTACTTCACCAACACAGTGACACACAAATGCACACAACCGAAAAACAAGAAAGGAACATTCATTCTATAACTACACATTTTCAAAAGATTTAGCACCTTTTTAACAGAACAACACATTCACACAATTTTCTCTAAAACTGATATATTAAATTAACAATTGTGAACCCAAAATCCTTAGCATCACTAGCCAACTTCCTTTCAGTAGTTCCTTTCATTTTTTATTGGCATTTTCTACCTAGCCTCCCTGATACACCATGTGACAAACAATTAAGCATTTGAAAGTTAACCTGCTCTCGCTAAGGTGAGAATCACTCGACCCTGGAATAGAGCTTTGAGCCAACTGGGAAAAAGACTTTCCTTTCTCAACTTCTCCATCACCAATCACATCTTCCTCTTCAGCTTCCACTTCTTGCTCATCATCATCATCACTACCACCATCATCTTCCCCACTATCAATCAACTTCTTGAAACTCATATACCCCCTATTTTTCCCCTCATCCTCATCCCCCACAGACTCATCATCCGTACCCAAAAATTCTCTCCTTCCCATTTCTTTCCCTCTCCTCGTAGCCGCAAAACCACTTTTATCAGCACCCCTTTTATAACCAACATCAAATGTTCTCTCATTCTTCCCTTTCTCTCTCCACCGCTCATTTCCCCTGTTCACAAAATCGCCACCACTCTCTCTCTTCTCCTTGAATCTCTCATTTCTTCTGAATTCGCCTGAATCACGTCCTTTGCCCCTCCCACCAAACAGACTACCACTAGAACCATTGCTTTCTTTCCTCCTGAAATCACCCGAATCCCTGCCCCTGTCCCTGCCCCTCCCACCAAACGAACCACCATTAGAGCCATTATTTTCATTTCTCCTCCTTGAAAATGGCTCGCTTGACCTGGGGCTTTCACCCCGACGTCCGCCCGAAAAATCCAAATCCCTACCGAATGCACCCTCTCTTCTTCTCTTCACGGTCCCGTCTCTAACCCCACTCTTCTCACTCTCCTCATCATCGCTATCACTGTAGACTTTTGTTTTCATAATGGAGCTCGAATTCAACCCACTTACCCAGTCACTCAGGTCGGCCTCGTCATCAATCAAACTCTTGGAGGACCCTGCCCGCGCATTCTGCTTGAAGCCCGAACCCATTCTTTCGCGGCCCGATCGGGTTGAATAACTGCTAGAGACGAATGGGACCAAACTGGAGGCCTGGCTTCGGACTAAAAGCACTCGATGCTGTAACCTTGGGAACCCCAAAAATGGCTTCTTCAGCCTATGAGGGAATACTCCTGAAAAAATGGGTCTGAAAATGGGTTGGAAAGCTGAAAGTTTGGTCGGCATAATACCAAAATGTGGATGGGCGATAAGGGTAGATTTGGAAATATGAAAATGGTGTTCAGGGAAACAAGGAGATAGGGTTTAAGCTATCTGGCTCACTGCCTTCCCATCTCACCATACAAATACAAATGTTTGTGAAGAAGGGTTTAAGATAAAACGCCGACGCCGACGATCTGGGCCTGGCTTTATCCACTAAGAGTTGGGCCTCCTATCCTTTGATTAGCTAATTAAATGGGCCTCATACCATTTTGGAATACTGGAACTCGCTCAATGTGGTGATAATGTTTGTTATTTTTATGTAATTGTCAAGTTCTAACAATCTGTATTACATGAATTCATGGGCAACTCCAAATATGAATGGCAGAAATTGTTAAAAAAAATTCAAATGGATTTTGATGCATATTTTCTTTTTATAAACTAATTTGTGACAGACGGCAACAACTAGCTATTATGATAATCTTTGACTGGAAATTAGAAAGAAAGAAAAAAAAAAAAATGATTTCTGCTTATAGTAGGTCAATAGTAGTAATAGGAAAAGGGACTAGTATGTTGTCATGATAGATAGTGCTTGGGATTTATGGGGCGTGGGGTCAAATTAGATATTTGTTATCCCATCAAAAATTGGCCATAAAATTGAGGTTTGAATGAATTAGTGGCCGTTTGGTTATGATTTATACCGTCCGTCAACCTCAGCTGGTTGCCCACAGTTTTGCCAACTAAACATCAACCATGCATGTGTCCCTTTGATTGAAAACCTAACTCATCAATTACAACCTCCACTCTATATTGTGTGGTAATTTGATAAAAGAGATTACCAGTATACTACGCCAAAGTTTCTCAACAAATTTTCATATTATAAATTTTTAATTATTTTAAATAATATTGTTTCCCGTATGTAAATTACCGAGCTCGCATAGTGTATTTTTTTTTTTACATATAATCTTATTATTATCGAACTAGTACGAATCCCGTGCGATGCACGGGTAAGAGATATTCATTAGTATTTATAAATTAAAAATGATTATTAGATAATATTTATAAATTAAAAATACTGAATCAATATGTAATACGTTTACCTATATTAATTTATTGAAAATATTATATAAATTTCATATCGTGCAAAATTACATAAAACATGTCAATTTAATTAGTATACAACCCGTATGGTGCACGTAACTGATAATAAATTACATTATATTTATTTCAAAATAAGTGTCATTTTAAAATATTTATTCAAAAATTCGATTGGACTACAATGTGATTCCATAAAATAATTCTTTTGGTAAAATTTTATCATATGTTTTAAAAATCTATAATAAGTACAATTATAAAACTTATAGTGTTAATTAAAATGAATTTAATTTTGTATAAACTATCAAAATAAAAAAAATTAAGTTGTTGAGTAATTTATTAAACTATAATTAATTGACTATTTCATTTATGCCTAAGTTAATATTGACACGTAAGTTATGAATAATTATTTATTTGACTTTTAAATTTGAAACCCAAATTTAAATAATACGATAAATTTCCTTATATATATATATATATATATATATTCCCTTATATATAAATTCTCTTATATATATATTATCTCACAATTTTCTAGAATTGTTGTCGGTTAATTTTTAAATTTTATTAACCAATATTTGTTCAAAGATGTTTATAATTTTCAAGAAGAATACATACCATTTTGTCAAATTATCATTAATATTTTTGGCAAGTTATTATAGAAATATGCTAAATTTTGAGAAACATATTACCTTGATTTTGTAACAAATCAACCTAAAATTTGACTTTCATACCCATAAAAAAAAAAAAAAATCATTTTTCAATATCTTTTTGTTCGAAAAAGATACATTTATCCTTTAAAAAGAGTTGTATTGCGTAGAGTTTTCATGGTGTATTGCTTGATGAGTCTCATGATTTCTTATCAATACAGAATATCTATTTGTTCTTTATGTTTTGCTTGATTTTTTCGATGAGTGGGGATACAATAACAACTCAGAGTGTGTATGTTATTTATAGGCAAATTAAGTGTTAATTTAACAGGTGAAAAAAAATATCTCGATATTAGATGATTGGAGCGTTAGAATGATATTATCTAAATATTTGAAATGATATTCGCGTACATTATTAAAATTTGGAATGATTTGATATTATCCATCAAATTAAACAAAAATTATATTTGGTAATATCTCTTTATTTTAGTATAAAAAAATAAATGGGCTCACTTATGCTTTTTTTTTCCTTGGGTTGCGATATTAATACATAAGCTTAGCCATTTTAAAATCTTTTTAGATTAATAGTTTAGTTATCCACAAATTTATCAAATAAGTGTTTGGTGAAGATTTATCAAAATCTTTTTAGATTAGTAGTTAGTTATCCACAGATTCATCTACAGATTATTGTTCCAATATTATCTCTACACCATTAATTTTGAATTCAAATTGTGAGTAAATAAAAAACTACACTATTATTATTTTCAAGCTTTCTATAAATAGAATGTCAAAGGTATTATTTATTTGGTCAAAAGTTTCCAAAAATGATTTAACCAACAACCTTTTTATATATAGATAGATTAGACTCTGCCACTAGGGCTGCAAACGAGCTGAGTCGAGTCGAGCATTGGTCTTATCGAGCAAGATTGACTTTTTTTTTAGCTGCTCGAGCTTGAACTCGATTTATGAACCTCGAGCTCGACGCGATAAGAAAATACAATAGCTCGGGCTCGACTCAAAATCAAATGCTCGAGCTTGGCTCGAAAATTTTTAAGTGAAATTACCATTAAGCACTTGTGTTATACTATTTAAATATATAAGGGGTATTTTTATAATTTAATACATATCGCGCTGCTCGACGAGCCGCTCGACAATGCAAAATATGGGCTCGAGCTCGACTCGAGTTCGTACTCGAGTTGCTCGAGCTCGAGTCGAGCTTTGACTCGAGCGCTCGCGAGCGGCTCGTGAGCCGCTCGACTCGTTTGCAGCCCTAGTTGCCACCAATTCAAATTGGATCGGTGAAATACCGGTTTAAGTTTGTTGATTATTGAAGTAGAATACTTGTTCATTGGTTGAACTAAAGTCAAAACTTGTCAGCCCACGGGTCGGGTTATGATTTATACATATATTTTTCTCCAAAATTTAACCAGATTGAATCATTGATTTTCCCGAATGAACCAAAATTCAAAATTTTATTTTTTGAAACCGCGGTTCATGGTTTAAATCAGAATAAGACAAACCGTCGGTTTTATAATCCAAACTCAGTGAAAAAAAAAACAAATTTTTGAATTTGAATTCTTATTGTTTCAGATCGACTCCACAAACCATTCGAACTGACCCACTTGATCTTGGAGTCGTTGTGAGATCAACCATCAAGTTCATTTTGAATCGGTGGTTCACCGATTGTAATTAGTGATACACATTTTGATATAATGCACAAGTGACACAATTTATAGCATATTATAAGAGAATTCATTCCCCCCTACTCCTACCCTAAGGATAAAAAAAATTCCAATTTCCATCTGAACTCTAAGTAAGCTTTCTTTGCGCCTTTCCCAGCTTGGCCCTTTAGGCCATAACGATGACAGCTGTCACCGGGCCTTGTGGCTTGGTCCTTTTGTTGGGATCTATGAGGATCTCGTTATGAACAAGTCACGAATTCAATTACAAACGTAAACCTATACGTAACGGATCTAAAGGTTTGACGTAGAAAACTTATAGTTTAAATTTTTTTGGATCTGACGGATTTGGGATGCTCGGGAGCAGCACCTCATGGGGTAGCTAGAATTGCACAGGTGGCGGGGATCGACAGTCGTGGGGCTGTGGTGGTCGCCGGCGGGATCGCGGTGGTCGGCCGAGGCGAGGACGTCGCAGGCCTGCGGCATCAGGCTCGCCTAGAACTGGGAGGACATATCTGAATATTGCCTAGAACTTAAGTTAGAAAGAATCTAGACTACACACCCGCAAACTAACATAAAAACTACGAACCTCCAATAATGGAGAATAGACACTCCCAATCGGGAGAAAACAACAAGCCACGAAATACAAACAACTACTACACAAAACAAAAACACGAGCAAACAAAAGCTAAACAAAATCTAGAACAAGAAAACAACCCTTCCCACAGTGGGTAAAACACCAAGAACAACACGCTGGCGGCACCATAGCCGACCACTCCAATGGACTGGATCACGCTGCCGAATGCCTGACTAGACCCGTATCCCTAAAACACGACCCGGTGCCCAGGCTTTCAACCACAACCCACAGCCGGAGGAACGTCGACCTAACCCCGCCCAAAGCACCGTCGCCCCAACCCCAACCCACATCACGGACCGAAATCGGAGACGCTGGCCAGCCCCTTAACTCGAGCACGAGGGGAAAAGAGGGCCCAGGGTGAAAGTCCGCTGATCCACCACCACGACCACCCGATCAACACCACCAAGCAGCCCCCAGAAAGCACATCAATGCCTTCAATAATGGAAGAACATGTGGACTAATAATGTTCTATCGCCACAATATTTTATTTGTGTATTATATTTTTTCTTTATCTTTTGTGTATTATATATGTTAGTGCATAATTGTAACAAAATATATATTTATAAATACCATTAAATTTATAATATAATTTTAGAAATGTAACAATTGTTTCTTTTATTTTTCTCTAGGTAAAATAATATGCTTTTTGACAAAATTTGCACATATAAATACCAGAAAACTATAATTTAATCTACGACTTAGATTACAAATTGAATTTTTTCTTCAAACTTAGTTAATATTTAATAAATACTAGATACATATTTTAGTAAATAAAATAATCTTTATATGAATATTGTTATATTTATTTTAATTTTTATTTTTATTAATTGTATGTTGATAATTTAATTAATTAAAATAAAGAGGATAAAAAGATATTTTATATGAAGTAAAATGTAGAGCGAATGGCTGGAGATGAAACTTGATTTTTTTTTTTTTAACTATACTACAGAGTAGAATAAAATCTATACTAGAGTAGAGATAAGAGTTGGAGATGTCCTTAAAAATATATTTTTAAAATCTCATTTATTCTGTTAATGATTATGTAATTCGATCCTTACGAATCCACACAATCTACATGATTCAGTTTGTCAATATATACACGACACACACACACACACACACACACACACATATATATATATATTTGTATTTACTTAAAATAGTATGTGTAGTTTTCCACTAAATACTTTAACTACTAAAAAAGAAAATTCTATAGAATTTTTTATTTTTTAGTTTTTTCTATTTTTAGCATTTTATATTTGATTGAAAATAATCTTTCTTTAAAAGCATAAGTTTTATAAATATTCATAAAATAAGAAATAATTCATTTATCTTTAGATATATAAACTACCAACTTAATATATTTTTATTTATTATAAATATTTGTTACATGAATTATTTCATAAAGGTAATATAAAAAGAGAAAAATAATTAAATTTCTTTGGATCAATCGAGTGATTGAAATATGTTACTGTCAAGTTGATTAAATTACTTCTACGTGATATCTAAAATAATCCAAAACCATGACGCAATTAGGGTTGATCATTGGTTAGTGGTCAGTTTGTTAGACCAAATCAATGATTGAAACTAAATAGAAACTTCAAATTAAAAATATAACGTAATGTAATCGAAGCTCCAAGAATAATTTTATAAAAATATGTTCAATGACTTATGAATATTTATATATCATTTTATTAATATTTATGTAAACAAATGATATTGCATTACAACTTTTATTAATGAATGATAAATCAAAATTATCTCAATATCAGACCATCATCGAACCGATCAAGTTATTTATTCAATAAATTATTAGTTTGACTAGAAATTAATTTATTAACATTAATTGTCATTTTATTTAAATATGGGTTTATATTCATATTAAAAATAATTTTAAATATTACAAAATTTATTTAAAAATCATACAAATCCTACCAGTTCGAGCGACTGGTGTTGATCATTTCACAAACAAACATTTTATTCAAGCGAACCGGACTGATAGATAGCGATTCGCGGTCCACTTGGTCGGACTATTCAGTGCGGCCCAACTTTAATAACAATGCGTAATCATAATTATTATCATTATTATTGTATAATTTATAATACAATCGTAATATTTTTCAACGTGCACATACCATTTACTAATTTGGTAAAAAGGAGAAAGAAGCTATTCCTCCATTCACCCACATTCCATCTTCTTTTACCTTCTCTACCATCTCATTCATTCCAAAGTAAAACCAAAATTCAAACTAAAAACAAAACCAGTGTGCTGGCTGTCCTGTGTTTGGTCACATTACTGATTTTTATCCTTTTTTCTTTTTCATTTCATATTTATTTATCTTTCTCCTTAGTCCTGACTCCCACTTTACCACTGTTCACATGCTTATCAACACACACACAAGCACGCACAAACTCACAAACTCACACTGTGATAACTAAACCATAATAAAACCCCTCACAAGATTCAACACACCCACCATTTCTGTAATACAACAGCTGCATTTCTACATTATTCTAACCAACTATGACTTCAATTTCCTCATCCGATATCTATTTCAATGCTACAATTTTGCTTTTCCTTGCTTAATATAAGCCTTTTCTTTTTCGTTTGCAAGTTTAGCTAAACTCTCAAGTGTTCTTGAATTCTTGTGTTACAGCTTCCAGCCTCAAGTCTGAATCTTTTTCCCCCATATTGTTAATCCTCAGGATTTGGGCTTCGCTTATTGCATCTGTTGGTTCAAATTTGCTGTTTTCTGATCTGGGATTATATAATTTGTCGATATAATTGTCGAGTTTGTACCTTTTTGCCACTTGAAGTTGAGAGCTCTTAAAAAGGTATTAACTAATATTAATTTGCTCAAGCATCTTTTAAGTGGACTTATTAATTATATTTTGATGATTCTGCTGTGTTAGATTCTGTAGATCTTTATGTTTTTTAATGATTTAAATTATTGTGCGCACGCGGAGTGGTACCTTTATAATGAATATTTAAGTTGGAATCACAAATCTAAAAATGAGGGGAGATTTTATTTAAACAGGACTAAAAGGGTGCTCGTAAAAAGCTCGAATATATCTGATGTCTTTATTTCCGTAAGGGGAATAAAAGGAAACGTTGTTTTTTTNCCTTTACTTGCTTAAAGCTCTTCACTGTTTGTTGTTCTGGAGAAATTACCTAATTTTAGTTCTGATTCGCACTAACCAAATTGTTAAGATGAATGTTTTACTATCACTTATAAAGCTTGAATCTTGATTTGGAATTTGCTAACATGTTTTAAATTCAATCCAACATAGTGAATCATTGATACCAAATGTATGTGCTTTCTTTGATGAGAATATCTGATTCAAAGGAAGTGGCTCAATTTAGACAAGTAGACCAACCTTATATAATATATAAACTTATTTTGTTATTTTTCTTCTCTTCTTTTCTTGTTTTCTGAGACATTCCCATTGGTTTCATTTGATGGTGTGAACCCGAGCAGAAATTAAAATTTTGCCCAATATGTTTGCAAACGATTTGTTAGTCAATTAAAATCTGTAAGTAAATCAGGTCCGATATAGTACAGGAGATGATAATTGATGGTGACTATTAACATTATTGATCTTGAAGAGAAATCGTGTTAGTAAAATTTCTTGAGTTTAGAAATGATATCGAGACTATCATTATTCATACTTGTACTAAGCATTCCTTTTAGTTCATATTCTTTACTGCTTGTGGCTCAATTATTATTTGCCTTTTGGGGTGCTTTGTAGTTTGTACTCACTGGTGCTGCATTTAAGCTGCATTTGACGCTGAATTTGTACAACTGCTTAACTGAGGCAGGAAGATTAAGTATTATGTCAAAGGAAACTGGTATAATTCGAAAAATGATGGCAAATGGTCCTGAAACATAAAAATAAATTTGAAAGATAGATCTGAGAATACTCTTTAAAGCATTATGAATTTTCCATCTTTTTTCTTATGTGAGTACAGAATATTGTTTACGAACATGGGAAATATTGTAGCGTTGAGATAGAAAAATTCTGATTGTACTCTTGTTTTTATAATTTTTCTTCCTGTTCAATAAAATGTCGTTCAGATTTGAAATTGTGCTATCGTTTAGTTCATTTCTTCTTAATTGGCTTTTGACTGTGCCGGGAAAACACATAACATTGGCTTTACATGTTCCAGGTAGCACATGATTGTGTTGCACATTTACTTGCAAGTGGGAAGTCAAAGCTATTTGGTCGTGTGATATCTTAGCTTCATGGAGAAACTCTATCAGCTTGCATTTAGCTAAAATGAAGAAGGCGAAGGTTGATCACTTAAGTTTGAATCATGCCTTTATTTCATGCAAACAACTCCCATCCTTTCTCTTTCCCATGTGAAAAATGTTTCTGATTTATGGAAGTATTTTATCTTTGTTACCTTGAGTCTTCACTTTTTCAATCACAGTTCTCTTTGTGCCAAATAATGCAAACCCTCATGCATGCTCTTCCACCAATGGTGCCAACTAGATTTGTGTTTCACAGATTCTTATTGCAAAACAATTGAGTCTTCATCTCGGCGAGGAAGGCAAAAAATTTTTTTAAAAAAAATTAAGAATAAAAGAATCAATGCAAAAAACTCCATGTTCAATTTGACGCCATTTGAAAAAATAAATAAATCAAGCCAAATGTAACTTGAAGGAAAAGTGTGGAAATGTGTGATGATGCCTCTTTCTTGTCTTGGATTTATGGTATATGATTGAATATCTTGCCTCAACAATTGATCTTCAGGGTCTGCTTATGTCAAACTTTTTACTCATGAATGATGTTGAAAGAATCTTTTTTCAGGACCAACAAAACACACTGGACATAAAACCGAATATCACCTCTCATGATTCTCAAACTGAACAGCCGAATAATGCCACAGATACTCCTATACCAGACTCAGGTTCGGTTTCAGCTTCGAGCAACGGCAACAGAAAAGTGTCCCGTGAGGATATTGAACTTGTGAGGCTATCTCCCTCTCTCTCTCTCTCTCTCTCTATCTTTTCCTGTGGTTTTCTCTCTTAATTATTTCAGTGGTATACCTGATACAAAATCTTAGAGAGTATCATATATTGATACATTGTCTTTATTTCATGCAGGTTCAGAATTTGATAGAACGGTGTTTACAGTTGTATATGAATAAAGATGAGGTGGTGAAGACCCTACTAACTCGTGCCAGAATTGATCCTGGATTCACAACCTTAGGTATGTTTCCAAGTTATCATAAGCAAAAGCTTTAAACTTTTTGGAGAAAGTGATTTGTTGTACAATTGTAGTGGAAACATTACGTAATAGAATAAAAAGTTTAGTAATACTCAGAAATGAATCTAAAAATCAGTATATTAAAAAAAAGGCTCCATTTGATATCTGAAGCACTTAAAATTGCTTCTCGTTTAATCAAAATCTACGAGTGTTATAATTTTTGTTATTTGAAGTGATTTTCATGCTTGGAAGGTGCATAATAGCAAATTGCCAACTATATTTGTTAATCTTGACCTGGAATTGTTCGGCTTGAATAGTGTGGCAGAAATTAGAGGAAGAAAATGCCGACTTCTTCCGGGCCTACTACATAAGGCTGAAATTGAAGAGACAAATTATCTTATTCAACCACTTGCTGGAGCATCAATTTCATCTAATGAAATCTCCCGTGCCTCCAAAGGTTCCTCTAGCTCCCATGCCGAATGGAATTCACCCAATGCCTGGTATATCTATCCTTTCAATTCACATTTTTTTCACAAACTCAAAATGCCAATGCTTGGCTTTGTGGTAACTCTAATCTCAATATTATACGGAAGCTTATATGTGTGTTTTCTGCATCGTTTTCTCTTTTAACACTGATACCTTCTTTTCTACCACTTGTAATTAAGATAAAGTTGTGAAATTTATATACAAATATAAATATATTTTCGAGTTGCAACTTTTACTGTATTTGTCATCATTATTGAGTGCGACTTTTTGCAGTGCAGTCAACAACTTTCCAATTGGATACCCCGTTATGCCACATCATCCGATGCCTGGTGCTGGACATCCTCACATGGATCCAATGGGCTATTCCACTTCCAGCTGTCATATTGTGAATGGAGTACCTGCTCCTGGAAATTTTCCTCCAATACGGATTAATTCTGGAAATGAGTGAGAAATCCTTTCTAATATGGTACAAGCTAATTCATGTAAATCAGACATTGCTCAAGTGTCCTATTAATGGCATTAATGTAATTTTTCAGGATGGTGATTGAAAATACTCGGGCAGATGTATCGCCCATTATGCCCCGAAACAATGCAATGTCGTCCATGTCTGATATTCCTGTGAGCCCCACATCAGTGGCATCAAGTGGACATTTTCCATTTAGTGCATCAGAGATATCTGGCATAGGAGTCGACAACTCAGCACTTGACACTGCTTTTACGTCTGATGTGGCGAGTTCGGTAGGCCTGCAACTCCCACCTGATAATGGGGCCGGAAATTCTCGAGATTCCCTCAGATCTTTGGCTCAGATACCATGGAATTTTAGCCTTTCGGACTTAACAGCCGATTTATCCAATTTGGGAGGTAATCTATTTT